GTAGTTATGTATAGTTATAGTATATATATATATATATATATATATATATATATATGCCCCATGAAAATCACACGAACCGCTCAAAGTAGGAGATGGTACTGGCTAGATACTTCAACAACACTTAGAAACCTATAGCTACAACTGTATGGAACGAATATACTAACAACATAACAATAACTTGGATACTGGGCATAACCCCACCGTGCGATATCACACAAATACAACCGAGCACAGACGGCAATTGTAATACTATGACTGGATCGATTGCAAATCAGACAAGCAACGATTACATTTAAAAAACAGGAGAAGCAAAACACGCTCAGGATGCCGGTGTGATACTGTCGCAAAATATATAAATATGATATACAATGCATCTTAAGTCATTGCAAATACATCGGCAAATTCAAGCCAAATATAATTCGAGGCCAGACTGCAGGTAGACGAAATGACTCACGGAGAGTAATATGAATAGACTGTTTTTCAATTCAATAAAGAAAATCTCCATGCTTATTTCAATCAATGAGGATTAAACATTTTTATCGTCAATATCCAGTCATGTCGCGATCGCACAGTCGATCAAAACAGGATATGTATATCATTATATTTTGTAACATTTCCTCATTTATATGAATACATTCAACATCTACGGAGGTGCTGTAACAAAATTGCTGGCATAGCACATGTATTGTAACTTCTAAACCAATTTCAGTTTATTTGTTCATCTATGTGGAAATAACCGATTCTCCATAAAAAGGAAGGAAGCCCTTTCCCTCCATAGATGCGTTTGTCATATACATGCATTTACTGTAAAAGTAAACACTATCTCCTCTTTTATCCGGGCCAGAATTCTGCGATTGCGACCAGCAAAAACTAACCAGCTCAACTACGTCTGGAGTGGATAACGTTTAATTGTGTACTGTGAGTACTAGTTGAGCCCTGTTCGTTGCATCGCAATCACCCAGCCCGAGATATACAACATCCTCGTCGTTTTCGTGGTAAGTATCAAGGTATGCGCACATTCCAGAATTATTCTCTTTCAGCAACACAACGGGTTCGTCTGGATATCGACTGTTTGTGCGGATTCGATAGTCACCCATCTGTCGCTAGAATCATAACAAGTGTCATACCCTCGGTAGTTCTCTGTGCCAATATAGTTCCATCCATCGCAAGTCCATGCTTGCCTTGCACATCCCTGGTGCACTCCTGGTTGCACTTGTAGACAATAATCGGTATCCACTTTAACGATCTGATTCGAACCGAACCACTCGTTATAGTTGCCAGCCTCAAAGGGACCGAATTGATTGTCGTTGCGATAGAGTACTTCGGTGTTATTTCCTGTTAGAACGGTGGCCTGTAACATGAATTGTTTGCTAGCTGTTTCAAAAGCTATTTGAGAAATGGATATTAGTAACACCCCA